ATTCTTGGACCCCAGTCTAGACTTTCTGAATTAGATACTGGGGAATGGGGCTAGCAATCTGGTGTTTCTGAAACTTGCAAAAGTTGGAGACCAGTGACATATGCAGTGGAGGTATCCTTCCAGATTCAGCTTTGCATTTACTTCTGTCAAGAGTCCTATGATAGTTCTCGACAAGGTTTTACATTAGTTGTAAAGCTCAGAGGTTCACAGACAGTACGGGTAGTGAAAATTTGAACCCCAAACCTGGGGGAGTAAACCTGGGTTTGAATTTTCAGGGTAGAAAACCCTCCTCCACTCAAACTCCAGACAAAGCAGACATATTTCCTTGTTGACTCCCTTTGACTTTTTCTAGCCTTCCTTTTTATTTAAGTTATTTTTAGATCGTTATATTATGATTTTTACATTTGGCCCATTATTTTGTCACAACAGAAGACTTTTTAGAGTTATTTTATCAATGATTATACAATACATTCTGTTCTATAACTGATTGTTCATGCCTTGTCATAGGTTTATTTTAATTGTTGAAACCTAGTAAACATTTTACATCATGTTAGGGATGTTCATATATTATTTGTTGCAGAATCAAGAGCATGTTTGGCCCATGGAGAAGCAAATGTAATCTTACTACCCATTCCACTCCAAGAAAATAATGCTTTAGATTGACGTGATCAGATAAATTTGCATTTCTCTTTGATTTTCCTGGACTCTCATATATTTTTTTTATGGCAGAAAGAGCCATGTGCTTAGATTTTAGTAATAACTTTCATGTTCTTGGTCATATGTTTAGAGTTTACTTTTATTTAGAGCATTTTACTTTTCAGGCTCACTTCTGCACTGCCATTCCTGGGATTTCATCTCATTGTATTTCAGGGTTACTTCTATTGCTTATTGGATTTTGTGTAATAGCTTCAAATAACAGGGAGTGCGTGAGCACACGTAAAATCAAGTAAAATTTTCTGATATGTAAGAAGCAACTTTGAGTCTTTATAAATCTAGCAAAAATCTTTGTTTTTGTCTTCAACTAGATAGTTTGGAGTATAAAATTCTGGGTTCAATATTATTTTCCCTCAGAGCACTTTTGGCATCTTTTGTTTCTATGGGAAGTCTGATGCTAATCTAATTCTTGTTTCTTTGTAGGTTCCCTTTTCTGGAAACTAAGGATTTCTTTGAAGTTCCTTAAAGTACTAAAGTTTCATGAGGGCTGTGATGAAAACACATTGCATATAGTAAACTACTTTTTAATGTTTTCATGTCTAAAAAAGTAACCTTGTTACCAGAGTTCAAGTGAATAGCTCACCTCTCATCACTTCCTATTTGTCTCTTTTTCACCATTGTGAACCCTTCACAGCACAAAGAGAAGAGATGAGGGAAGTTTATCAGCCACCTTTCCTTACCTCTGCTCTTAAGGCAATGCAGGCCGGGCGCAGTAGCTCACACCTGTAATCCTAGCACTTTGGGAGGCTGATATGGGAGGATTGCTTGAATCCAGGAGATCAAGTCTAACCTGGGCAGCATAGGCTTTGTCTCTACAAAAAAATTTAAAAATTAGCCAGGCATGGTGGCAGTTGCCTGTAGTCCCAGCTACTCGGGAGACTGAGGCAGAAGGGTCGCCTGAGCCCAGGAGGTTGAGGCTGCAGTGAATCATGATAGTGTCACTGCACTCCAGCCTGGGCAACAGTGAGACCTTGCCTCAAAATAAAAAAAACAAAGCAGTGCGTTTGTTGTAGAATAAGATCATTGTTATCTCACAATTTGTTTTGTTTTTGGTTTTAGATTCAGGGGGTATGTATGCAGGTTTGTTGCATGGGTACATTGTGAGGTTTGGGTTACCATTGAACCTGTCACCCAGATAGCATAGTACCCAATAGATAGTTTTACAACCCTTGCCTTCCTCACTTCCTTCTCCCTTCCTTCCTTTAGAAGTCCCCACTGTCTGTTCTTCCCATCTTTATGATGTTATGTATCCAGTGTTTAACTCCTATGTAAAAGTGAAAACATGAGAACTTGCTGTATTTGGTTTTCTGTTGCTTTAATTTGCCTAGGATACTTAGCCCACAATTTGAACATCACTGAAAAAGGTAAGGTTTATAGCCGAAAGGCTTTCTCAGGTTGGTTGGCCTTTATCATGTGGATATGTAGCATTCTCCATTTTAGGCAGCAAATTACTAGAATTCCATATCTTAGCTTATATTAGGCTTTGCAGAGTAGGATATGCTTGTATGACACATAAGAAAACTAATGATTGTGATTGGTTACTAGCATTTTGTTTTTTAAAAAGTCACTGTTAATCAAATCGGTTTTACCAACTGGAGCTAGCCTGTTTCTGGTATAGTTCATGTGCAGGGTGTGTCAGATCTTGGTGGTTCTGCCTTAAAAAAAAATTCAAACTATCTAAATTCCAATGATTATGTACCATTTTTTAAAGTTTTAGGATTATCAGAACATAAGAATTGACTTTCTTATTAACATCAAAGGGTAAAAACAACTGTGCAAAGCCCTTTGTATCATCCACAATTCAACCAACCACAGAAGGAAAACATTTGAAACAGTAAAGTGATATGGGTATATATGAGGCGAGAAAATAAAACAAAAAACAGTATAACTATGTACATAACATTTACATTGTATTAGATATTGTAAGTAATCTATAGATTTACAGTGTGCAGGAGTATGTGTGTGGGTTATATGCAGACACTACACTTTTTTATGTAAGGGTATTATAGCCTGACCAGATTCTTTATGCCAGCAGCACAGAAAAGTCAGTACATTGAGACAGCAATTGTTATAGTAGAAAAAGAGTTACATAATTTCAGAGAAGGCTAACAGGTGAATGGGAGATATTTCTCAAATCCACCTCCCCAAGAACCCACAGGCTAGTGTTTTTAAGGATAATTTGGTGGACAGGTGAATAGAGAATTGGGGACTGCTGATTGGTTGGAGATGAAATCATCGGAGTTTCAAAACTGTCTCAATGTGGTGAGCAGTTTCTGTGTTGGGGTCCCAGGTCCAGGTGGGGTCTGTTAGCCCACCAGAATGCAAAGACCGAAAGATACCACAAAGACTAGTCTTGTGACTCGAGCAGTAAGAACAGAGGCTGGTTATCCTTTTTTATTTTATTTAATTTTTTGATTTTTAATTTTTTTGAGTTGGAGTCTCACTCTGTCGCCCAGACTGGAGTGCAGTGGCTGCTCCCAGCCACCGCAGCCTCGACCTGCTGGGCTCCGGTGATCCTTCCGCCTCAGCTTTCCAAGTAGCTGGAACTACAGGCGCGCGCTACCACGCCCCAGCTAATTTTTTTGATTTTATTATAGAGATGAGGTCTCGCCGAGTTGCCCAGGCAGGTCTCGAACCCGCGGGACTCAGGCAATCCACTCACCTCAACCTCCCAAAGCGTGGGATTACAGGCTGAGCCACTGAGCCCGGCTCTGGTTATCTTTCAAATATGCCTGTAGCTTCACAGAAAGATATGCAGGTATGAGATCCCCAGATGCTGGAGACCTTTTGGGTGCCATCAAGGAGATCTGCATGACCTAAGGTTCATTGTTCTTAAACAGAAAATAAGTTTATCAGTCTCGCCAGCAGCTCCCTGGGGATTAGGGTATACAAGTGATCAGTCATGCATGAAGGAAGGAAAGGTCAAGGAACAAGCAAACAAAATTCAGGTACCTATCACAGTTCTAACTTTATGACCTTTTATTAATTGTATGAAAATGGTTTTAGGTGACTTGAGGATTTTTGGATTTTGGTATTAGTGGGGAGGGTCAACCCTGGAACCAATCCCCTTGGATACCAAGGGGACAACTATTACCACTAAATTCAGAGAGAGAATAAGTTTAGGGAGAAAATGTGGTGGTAGGGAAAGTTATAACAGCATGCTTTTTTATTTTAATTATAATGATGAAATTGATTATGATATTTCTTAAATGTAGAAGGGAAATTACATGGTTTTGGGAATACCTCTAAGTAATTTAGAATGATCAAATGTAACCATTTAGCAATGTGCTTCATTCCTGAAACTTAAACAAAATATTTTTTATACTTATCAGTTCTATTTTATATACTTATCTCTTTAAAATCTAACATTGTAGTATGTAACCCCATATACTCTTGCTAATGTTTCAAGATGATTTTTGTGGTAGCAGCAGGTACTACTTATTTTGTAACCCAAAGTGCTCTGATGCTCAAGTAATTAGAACTTGCAGGGATGGATTGGAGATAGGAGAGGTTCTATGAGAAAACACATAGCCTTAGCAAATTTTCGGTTAGTTTATAATTTTGGTCCTTTTTGGGTGAGGTTCATTTGGGGAATTTACATTGAGTGGGGAATCCTGAAGAGTTAATAATGCAGTTAAGTGACCCATATGACCCATGTCAATTTTACAGCTAGTAAGCCCTGGGACCCTTGGAAACGTGAAAAATACTCCCTAAGTGTGATTTTTTTTTTTTCTAGCTATGAACTGATGATTTAGATCAGTTGACTGTTTCTTTATCTGTTTTATATAAATCTTATTTTATCCATGTAATCCTCATTTAAAAATAATAAATGCAATAGCCTAAAGAATAAAGAAGGTGAAGAGTATGATTTAGAATCAAGTTGAGGGCTTACTCAAATTATATCCCCTCAATTCTCTCAGCTGAGAATTGATGCCTAAAATAAGTACTGTAATGATAACTGATAGGAGAGTGTAGTGGAATTTTTCAGATGAATTGGGGAAGGTTAAGTACTATACAAAAGTTTATTGTACTGTTGTATACCCTATTTGTTAATTACCTCATGGCTTCTTTGCGATGGTTCTCTTAAAGTTCATTTTTCATTTGATATTGTTTACTGTGCACCCCTCACCCCAGCATTTCTAAAGGTTTTTAATTTGAATTAGTAGCATATTTTTTCCTGCCTTTACATTTTTTTAAGTTAAATATATTTTAACACCCATGCATATACAGTAATGTGAAATCCTTAAAAGATCTTATTCAGTTGATCCATTTTGTTGCATTGGCAGAGTGAAGATAGTCCAAGTCCCAAGAGACAGCGCCTCTCTCATTCAGTCTTTGATTATACATCAGCATCACCAGCTCCCTCACCACCAATGCGACCATGGGAGATGACATCAAATAGGCAGCCCCCTTCAGTTCGACCAAGCCAACATCACTTCTCAGGGGAACGATGCAACACACCTGCACGCAACAGAAGAAGGTTAGTTGATTACAATTTATTTCTTAAATTTTCTTTCATTGGTAGGTTTGTATTTTTTTTAACATCAGAAAGCATTTTTCCGTAGTCATTTCACAAACGTGAACATACATGCATGCACATTCACACATAAAAAACTTTGTTAGTTGTTTAGGTTCCAGCTAGGTAAAAAAAGTTCATTTAGCTTATCATTGACAAGGGAAGAGACTGTGAAAGAGTCTAAAGTGATTTACCTAAGTCAGTCCATGCCATTACATACGAATTTATTTACTTTATGATTTAAGATTATTTATGAGGTATCCTGAAGTCCTAGTTACTAGAAAATGCGTTCTGTAGTTCACAACTGTAAGAAAATATAAGAATCTCAGAAATGAGCTACCTTTTCACCACTCCATTTCTATTCCTTCTGTATTCTGTAAGACAGTTAGGAGCTTAATTATGTTTCTTACAAAACTGTGGAAACTGGTATGAAAGAATGACGAAAGATTAGTTCAGCTTGTAGGTGTCTGTTCCATGGGACTTGGCCCTTATCTTTCCTTCTCAGAGAAATGCATTTCTTCTTGAATATCTTCCTTTTTAGGTGTGGGATGAGGTCATACATTTCTTAGGATGAGATACCTGTTTACACATCCAGAATGTTGATAATTTAAGGAATAGTGATGATCTTGAGTTAGGAGAGTATTATGGACCAAATGTTTTTGTCGTCCCCCTCCCCAAATTCATATATTGAGGCCATGACCCACAGTGTGTTTGTGTTTGGAGATGTAACCTCTAAGGAAGTTACTAAGGTTATGTGAGGTCATAAGGGTGAGGTCCTTATCCAGCAGGATTAGTGTACTTTTCAGAAGGGATATTGGAGAACTCACTCTCCGCCACTATGTGAGGACACAGTGAGAAGGGGGTTGTCTGTAACCCAGGAAGAGATCCCTCTCCAGAAAATGAACATGTTGCACCTTGATTTCAGGCTTCTAGCCTCTAGAACTTAGAGAAAATAAGTGTCTGTTTAAGCCATTTTGTGGTGTTTTGTTATGGCAGCCTGAGCAGACAAATACAGAATAGATCTTAAAATTACCATTCTGTGTTCCAGGTGAGACAGCATAAACCTGTGTCTGAGCTGTATTCAGTTGAGACACTAAGACTTTTACATTATCCAGTTCCTTATTAACCAATTATATGGTAATGTTTACGTAAAATAACATATAGTTGTCAGGCAAATTACTTTATAACCATTAAATATAATAAGCATATTAGGAAATCGGGTTATTTCAAAGTTATGACCTGATTACCTGCTGTAGTTTTTTCTTAGTTTTTAGCGAATTGAGTCATATGTTCAGAAGTACATTGTAAAACATGTGTTTTTTTTTGTTTGTTTGGTTTGGTTTTTGTTTTTGTTTTTTTTGAGTCGGAGTCTCACTCTGTTGCCCAGACTGGAATGCAGTGGCTGCTCCCGGCCACTGCAGCCTCGACCTGCTGGGCTCTGGCGATCCTTCCTCCTCAGGCTTCCAAGTAGCCGGAATTACAGGCATGCGCTACCACGCCCGGCTGATTTTTTGATTTATTGTAGAGATGAGGTCTCGCTGCCCAGGCGGGTCTCAAACCTGCAGGCTCAGGCAATCCACTCACCTCAGCCTCCCAAAGGCACGGAATTACAGGCTGAGCCACCGAGCCCGGCGTAGAACATGTCAAAAAGATAAACGCATATACCCACACCTAGGCCAAAATAGTATTACTGATTCCTTAAAGGCTTCTTGGTGCTACCATTCCTCTTCTTCCTTACTAGAAGATAACCCTGTCCTGGAATTTGTTAACATTTCTTGTTACATTTTTTAATACCTATGAATATGTATGATTTTGGTTTTTCCCTGTTGTCATTTAATTGTTTTCTTCTTTGACTTTGTTTTTAAACATTCTGTTTTTAATATTGCAAGCAATAGTTAATGTATTTTTGCTGTGATATAATCAGTTATGTTAACATACTATAATTTATTATTGTTTAATAGTTGTACCCAGTTTCTTACTCTTATAAATTATGAATACTGTTAGGAACATTTATGCACCCATCTCCCCCGGTAGATATGCAAAAGCTTCCCTAGGATATAAGTCTGGGAGTAGAGTTACGAGGTCATAGGAAATTCCCTGGACCAGGAGGTGTGTCAGAAATGTCTATCTACAGATAATAACAGTAACAAGATGTGAGTTCTTGAATTGGAGAGAAGCATTGTGCTCTTCATTTATGGCAACAAAAAAGAGTAGTAGGAAGCGTTTACTACCCAAAAAACTGACTACTGGGTTTTGTTAAGCAGTATGTCTTATTTCTTACTCTATTCTTACTACTTAGTACAGGCTAGCTATAATCTTAGCTGCCAGATTTTCTCCCAGAAAGAGACTATGCCGAGCAAATACAGTTATAAAAAATAATCCAGCAGGATTTCAGATACGAAGGTGAATGCAAAACTGGGAAGTTACCAAACATTTGAAGAAAACCAACAAAGTGAAAGAGGGATACTAAATGCAGTAAAACAAAGAACTTGAGTAAGTAGGGTTGTCAACCTCAGTAGTTAACAAAGAACTTGAAGAAACAGTAGAACAAGCAAGATAGAGTTTTAGAATAAGTATAATATAAGAGATACAAGAGGGATATTGTATTCATAAAAATCGACCAGAAGTCTTAGTTGAGAACACCTAAGAACTCAATAAATTGACAAAAAGTGAGTGAGTTTCTGGAAGATCAAGTGGAGAAGATTTCCCAGAATAGTGTAAAGGGCAAACTAAAAAGTATGAAAAGGTAAATTTAAGTACAGAGACAGAGCCATCAATTCTAAATAGGTCTAATAATATTTTCATAAAGAGACACAATACAAGAAAATTTTAAAAGAAATAATGCAAAATTATTGTCCAGACTTGAAGAAAGACTGAGTTTTGAACAGGATCTTGGTGAAATTTTAGAGCGTACACTAAGGAGAAATAAAAATTCACAAACATCCCAAGGCAGAAAATACTATCCACAAAGAAACGTGGACCAAATTGACCACACAAGCTGCTGCTTTTTTTAAATTGTAGAGACAGGGTCTCACTTAAGCGATCTTCCTGCCTCGTCTTCCCAAAGTGCTAGGATTGCAGGCATAAGCCACTGCGCTCAGTCTACAAGTTTCTTACTAATGGCATTGGGTATAAGAAAACAGAATAAATCTCCAAAGTTATGAGAGGGCTTGCATATTATTTTGAATTCTGCTAGCTGACTTATCATTTAAGTATAATGTAAAAAAATAAAATTTTCAAGCATTCAGACTCAGAAAATTGGCCAGTAAGAGATATTCCATCTGTATACATGGGTTCAATCAACTGCAGATCGAAGATAGAATATTCTCATGATATGGACCCATGGATATGGTGGTCACCTTTTGGTATCTGAGGGTGCCTGCAACCAATCCAACGTGGATACTGAGGTACAACTGTAGTATTAGATTTTGTACTCTATCCAGGAAGCAGAATGATAAATGCAAGAAATAGATTTAAAGACCATTGGTTAGCAAAGTAAAAGACATACTACAAAGCCTGAATAAGGGTCTGTTGTTTAAAAAAGAAAGAAATAAGGAAAAGATCAGAACGGAGATGGGAACAGAACAGAGAAGTGAAAGTGTATTAATTCTATACCCTTCCTCAGGAATACTGATTAGATGGTTTTTGGAAAAATTAGAATGTGTAACTTCTCATTTAAATAGATAAACAACATAAATAGAACTGAATCCAAGAAAAGGCAGAAAAATGAGGCCAGCAGGGAACAGCTTTGTGCTGTTTACAGGGGTTATACCTAAAACAAAATGACAAAGTATGTATCTACCATTGGTAGAAATATTTCAACTGAAAGAAATATTTGTCAGTCTTTTATCACTATTTCTTTTTTTTTTTTTTCTTTCCGCATTGGAGTCTCATTCTATTGCCTAGGCTAGAGTGCAGTGGCACACTCACCGTCACCCCAGCGTCAACCTGCTGGGCTCCGGTGATCCTTCTGCTTCAGCCTTCCAAGTAGCCAGAACTACAGATGCCTGCTACCATGCCCCACTAATTTTTGGTTTATTGTAGAGACGAAGTCTCACCAAGTTGCCCGGGCTGGTCTCGAACCTGCGGGCTCAGGCAATCCACTCACCTCGGCCTCCCAAAGTGCCGGGATTACGGCAGAGCCGTGGAGCCCAGCCCACGATTAGATTGTCTAATTCTGTTTCTTAAATGTTGTACCACAAAGACACATATAACAGATTTAATAAGAGACAATATGGGAAAGATAGGAATCGAAGTTATAAAATATGTCTTCATGAGGACTGGGTCTTATTTTGTGATTAGTTCGAGTGTTATTAAAATTATTTTGGGTAAGGAATTGAGAGAGCAAGTGGTGACAATTGAGAGAAAAAAACAGTATTAAAGATGCTCATGAGTTTGTGGACAGGTTTAGTTTTTTTAAGGGAGATGAATGCCCTGAGTGTACATATTCTGTTCTGATTTTAATACTTAACCCTTTGCCCTTCGAAACATCTTGCTGATCACTTGCCAGCAACTTAACTACACTTTTTTTTTTACAGAATAGTGAAAAATGAATCACTTCACGTTAAATAATACAGTGTTGGAACCAATTGTTTTGTTGTACTAATATTTGGCTTATAATGGAATTTTGGACATTAGGAACTTATTTATGACAAAAATCAAAATTTCATATCTTACATTTTTCAAGATTGGAGAGAGAGACCATGCACTTAAGGAAAGCATGGCCCATCTTGTGTTTTTTAATTCAAGCAGACAATGAAGTCTTGTTTTTTTTCCTCCGACATTAATAATATGTAATTTATTATCCAGTCTGTGCACTACTGTGAAAGCACTTCAGCCGGGCTCGGTGGCTCCGCCTGTAATCCCAGCACTTTGGGAGGCTGAGGTGAGTGGATTGCCTGAGCCTGCGGGTTCAAGACCTGCCTGGGCAACTTGGTGAGACTTCATCTCTACAATAAAATCAAAAATTAGCTGGGCATGGTAGCGCGTGCCTGTAGTTCCAGCTACTTGGAGGGCTGAGGAGGAAGGATCGCTGGAGCCCAGCAGGCCGAGGTTGCAGTGGCCCAGAGCAGCCACTGCACTACAATCTGGGTGACAGAGTGAGACTCCAACTCCAAAAAAAAAAAAAGAAAGAAAGCACTTCACACATTCTCTTTCTACATAATGCAAACTGATTTCTTTTTAATGTATTTCTCAGCATATATTGTCTCTTTATTTGCTTTTTCATGCAATTTGAATGGAAATCTTCAAGGAGACATATTTTTGAAAAATTGGTGCTGGCATAAGTTTGCTTGTATAATCACCAGCAATGTCTATGTACCTATCCAAGTTGTTTGCTGGATTTACAATGTTCCCCCAGAGGGGACAAATAAATGGTAAGTATAAATAAATATAAAAGGAACAGCTCTTTCTTAGAGAAAAAACTGCAGTTAATAAGTATAGAAGAAGCCAGGCTCGAGGGCTCAGCCTGTAATCCCACGCTTTGGGAGGCTGAAGTGAGTGAATTGCCTGAGCCCACGGGTTTGAGACCCATCTGGGCAACTTGGCGAGACCTCATCTCTACAATAAATCAAAAAATTAGCCGGGCATGGTAGTGCACGCCTGTAATTCCAGCTACTTGGAAGGCTGAGGCGGAAGTATTGCCAGAGCCCAGCAGGTCGAGGCTGTGGTGACTGGGAGCAGCCACTGCACTCCAATCTGGGCAACCAAGTGAGACTCCAACTCAAAAAAAAAAAAGAAGTGCAGAAGAACTGAGGAAAATAGAAAATCACCGTTAGAACAACATAGTAGTATTTGCTACAGATTCATCCATACATGATAAAATAATTGGTGAAACTTGAAGCAGAAGCAGGATGTGTGCGTGATCCCAGAGTATTTCCTTCCACATACTTGGTAATTACAAAAGGAAAAATGATGGCTTTGTAGTGGAGGGTCCAAGTGATTAATGTTAATATCACCAGTGATGCATATTGATGTCTTACACATTTCATATGATGCGCTCAAAATGGCATATCACCTCTGTGATATCTTTTCCAGTAATGCATTGTCTTAGGCAGATCGTGAGAAAACATTAGCTAAACTCAGGATGAGGGACATTCTGCAGAGTGCATAAAAAATATCTTCAAAGATGTCAAGGTCATGAGAGACAATGAAAGACTCAGGGTCACAAGTTGTATAATACTAAGGAGACAAAGCAATATGATCTTCTATATTAGATTCTGAAACAGTGAGGGGACAAGAGTGGAAAAACTGGTGTAGTTGAAATGTGTTCTGTAGTTTAATTAATAGGTACCAAGGTTTACTTCTTTTTGTTTTTGTTTTTGAATCAGAGTTTCACTGTCACCTAGACTGGAGTGCAACTCAACCTGCTGGGCTCTGGCAATCCTTCTGCCTCAGCCTTCCGAGTTGCTAGAACTACAGACATACACCAGCACACCTGACTAATTTTTTTGATTTATTGTAGAGATGAGGTCTCGCCAGGTTGGCCTGGCTAGTCTCAAACCCCTGAGCTGCTGAACTCAGGCAATCCTCTCGCCTCCGCCTCCCAAAGTGCCAGAATTACAGGCATGCGCCACCACGCACAACCAAGGTTTATTTCTTAATTTTGATCCCATTCTATGATTATGGAAGTTTTTTTTGTTTGTTTGTTTTTGAGTTGAAACTCATGCTGGAGTGTAGTGGCGCACTCGCAGCCTCCCCAGTGTCAACCTGCTGGACTCCAGCGATCCTTCCTCCTCAGCCTTCCAAATAGCCAAAACTATGGATGCGTGCTACCCCATGCCCAAAGCTAATTTTTTATTTTGTTATAGAGATGTGGTCTCACCAAGTTGCCTGGGCTGGTTTCGAATCAACAAGCTCAGGCAATCCATTTACCTTGACCTCTCAAAGTGCTGGAATTACTGACTGAGCCACCGAACCCGGCCTGGAAAATATTCTTAACACGAAGGGAAGGTAGATGAGGGGTATGCAGAAACACTATACCAAAATTATCTCTTACAAAATAAAAAGGTTTTATTCCTAAGTTGGGTGGCGTCTTGAATTCCATGAAATACAGTACATAGCTTTTGAAGTAAAAATGCAAAAAGAGCTATACTAAAAAAGAAAGATAAATTTAGAGGAAACAGTGAAGCAAGAACCTGGAAGGACAGTACCAAGGGCACTATTGAGTTGGTCTCACAGTGACCCTTGTTCTTTTTTTTTGAGTTGGAGTCTCACTCAGTCGCCCAGACTGGAATGCAGTGGCCGCTCCTGGCCACCGCAGCCTCGACCTGCTGGGCTCTGGCGATCCTTCCACCTCAGCCTTCCACGTAGCTGGAAATACAGGCGCGCACTACCACACTTGGCTAATTTTGTTGATTTACTGTAGAGATGAGGTCTCGCCAAGTTGCCCAGGCAGGTCTCGAACCCGTGGGCTCAGGCAATTCACTCACCTTGGCCTCCCAAAGCACGGGATTACAGGCTGAGCCACCGAACCCAGCCGACCCTTGTTCTTTTAAGACTGGAGAGTTTGGAGTGAAAAGAAACAGACTTAGAGGTGCAATCTCGGTAGAAAGGTTGCTGAGATGACTTTTTCAGCTCTGTCTAGAAGACAAATACTTGGCTTCCTTTGCCCAATGGAGAGTACATTTTAATGAGGCCTACTAGTTTTCTTGAATTGTTTTTGTGCTGAGCCGTTGTAATAAGCAGTGGAGGTGAATTGTGAAAGTGTAGAGAAATAGAAAATGAAAGTTTAGTCACAATAACAATATATTTATTAAACTATGTAGATGACTAGTACATGGTGAGAAAATGTGGTCTGCTTCAGTAAGCAGATTTTAATGAAAAATTCTGTATATTCTTGGAATATTTACTCTGGCACTATTTCTCAGTCACATCCAATATGAGCATTTACTTAGTTACTCTTTACAGTTGTCAACAAATTATATGTTCTTTGGTTATTTTGTGTTTTTTTCTCTCAGTTTTTAAAAAGTATCACTTTGGACATTTAAGAACTAAGTTTTATGTATGTGCCCATGTTGTGTATGAGGAATATTGGAAAAATAGTTTGTTTATTATGTTTATAAAGGGAAAAAATAATAGGTTAAACCATATGATATTAGACTTTTTTTAGCTATGAAAAGAACAGTTTCATATGATTAAAAAGACACTGCACTGTTCCTAGCTGTTTATTTGTAAATACTAATATTGTTTTGTTTTGCTATTTTGTAAAAAAAACATTAACAGCAACAACAAAAACAGCTTGTATTTAAATTGGCAAGTTTTTTTAGAGCAAATGGAGAGTCTTAGCCATTATTTAATACTCATGCTTACCGTACCATATACTATTGATGGACAGCAAAGAGAGACAGTATAGAATTCTGGTGGATCACAACAATAAACATTCTAATGACTCTCTTTAATTGACATTTACTGTATTACAGTCCTCCTGTCAGGCGCCAGAGAGGAAGAAGAGATCGTCTTTCTCGACATAATTCCATTAGTCAAGATGAAAACTATCACCATCTCCCTTATGCACAGCAGCAAGCAATAGAGGAGCCTCGAGCCTTCCACCCTCCGAATGTATCTCCCCGTCTGTTACATCCTGCTGCTCATCCACCCCAGCAGAATGCAGTAATGGTTGACATCCATGATCAGGTAGAGTAACAGAATGTCCTAGGAATACAGATGCTAAAAGGTGGTGGCAGTTTGTTGAGATTGTTTGGTTCTTTGTTGCAGAGTTCCTTTACTGAAAATGAAGTTATTTTAGTTGTTTTTCATTTCTTACGAGAATTGAGACTTCAGTTCTATATAGCTTCCATAGAAAAACGTTGAACTTCAAAAATTAAGATCCAGACCGGGCTCGGTGACTCAGCCTGTAATCCCAGCACTTTGGGAGGCCGAGGCGAGAGGATTGCCTGAGCCCGCAGGTTCGAGACCCGCCCAGGCAACTTGGCGAGACCTTGTCTCTACAGTAAATCAAAAATTAGCTGGGCGTGGTAAGTGTGCGCCTGTAGTTCCAGCTACTTGGAAGGCTGATGTGGAAGGATCACTGGAGCCCAGCATGTTGAGGATGCGATGGCCAGGAGTGTGCCACTGCACTGCAGTCTGGGTGACAGAGTGAGACTCCAACTCAAAAAAAAAAAATTAGCCGGGCTCAGTGGCTCAGCCTGTAATCCTGCGCCTTTGGGAGGCTGAGGTGAGTGGATTGCCTGAGCCCGCAGGTTCGAGACCCGCCTGGGCATCTAGACCTCATCTCTACAATAAATCAAAAAATCAGCCGAGTGTGGTAGCACATTTCTGTAATTCCAGCTACTTGGAAGGCTGAGGCAGAAGGATTGCTGGAGCCCACCAGATTGAGGCTGCGGTGGCCGGGAGGGGCCACTGCACTCCAGTCTGGGTGACAGAGTGAGATTCCAACTCAAAAAAAAAAAAAAAATTAAGATCAAGGTTATAAAAGCTGAGAATGATTCAATATGTTAGTTGGCTTGAAATTACTGATTTAGAATTAATAGGAAATAGGAGACAACTAGTGGCTTGATAAGATATCCCTATCACCTCTCCCTTCCACTTTGTTCCAGAATAAATTCATATGCAAGACAGTTGAGTGCATCTTTTCCTACAGATTTCCATAGGTCACCAAGGAGATACTGCCAAGAACGAGGGACTAGCTGAGGAGGGTGGTTGCCTATCTTCAGAGTCTGAGAATGAAAACAGTTAAATGATTTTCTGTGGGACTTCTGAGGTCAGAAAAGGACACAGATGTAAACATGTCCTTATAAAGTTGCTAGATTTTAAGGATAAAGACAAAAATCTTGCAAGTATAGACAGGAGAAATTACAAAAGAAAGCTAATCAGAATAGCACCTGATTTTTCATCTACTGCACTAGATAATAAAAAACAATAAGATAATGCATACTGACAACTATGAGAAAATATGATGACATCCAGATGCCATCCTTTTGTCAGATACTTTTATTATGTTTATGAAACACTTTAAAAAATTGATCATGTAGTAAATTCTAAAAAGAAACATTTTTCCAGTTTACATTATTTGTGGCCAAAACCTGATAAAACTATGGATATACAGCATAGAAAGAAGTAAATGTATGTTTTTCCCCCTTTGCAAGAAAAGCAAAATGGAGAGGTGTTTATAAAGTCCCATTTTGTAAAGCATAATGATTAAATACATATGTATAAATAGGACCATATGAACACAGAGTAAAATGAGAAATATATATTAGGCTTGGGGTGTAGGTGCTAAAGTGAAGGGAATACAGATAGTGGTAGGGATGTAGCCAAAGAGGAAAAAATAGAATTGCATCGCAGAAAGAGTGAGGTCTCGTTTATGTAGTAGAATTATGTATTGGGTCTACATACTGGGAAATGAAAAGATTATATGTATAAATAACCAGAACTACCCAAGAAATAGGAAGTCTAAACAGATTAGTAGCCATGGCAGAGACTGAAAGCATTAAAAAAATCTTTCTTTATAAATTATATCTGAATTCTTACCTAACCTTTAAAGAACTAGTAATTCTAATTTAAATTATTCCAGATCATAGAAGTTAGAAAGTTTCCAAGTACAAAAAACTTACCAATGAAACTTGATAGACAGTAGTACAGCAAAAGAAAGCTATTGACTAGTTTTCCCTGTTGAATATAGATGCAAATGTTTTAAGTAATAAGGCATAACTAGTGATGTATTAAAAGAATGATCTGTTGAAATTACTAAAAGAGTGATTAGTGGAGTTCATTCTAGCAGCGCAGGATATCTTTCAAGGTAATTGGTTTAATCAGCAATATAAAGGAAAAAATGTTTTCTTAGCAGATGTAAGAAGTATAAAATGTAGCCAGCAGATGTAAGAAGTATAAAATGTAGCCATTATATCTATTAAAAGCTCTTGAATAAAGTGGAAAAAGAACTTTAGTTTTTCCAGAATAATAGGAAAAGTTATTCAGAGTGTTCTTTTGCTTGAAGACAACTGAATGTGCTTTATAAAATACTAACAGTATCCTAAAAGCATCAAAAGAGCTAAAAGACTTTGACCTAGAAATTGCTAGGCCAAAACCTGAGGGAAAGTGAGGGATTCTGATTCTGTCCTCAAATAATTTGTTCTTTTGTGCAAACTTGCATTTCAGTTTTAAGTCTGTCAGGAGGCAAAGCGGATAAATTAAAGACCACTAAAGTTTTAAAGCGTTCCTTAAACTTAAAAGGCCTCCTTACATAAAGTAGTAAATTTCTTAAAGCACTGTATTCCCAGGATATGAGTGACTGGGAGCAAATTTGCAGCCCAAAATCACATTAGTCTGTGAAATTAGTTTAAAGTAATTGGGGCTGCAGAGGCATCGGAGCCTAGAAAACAGGGACAAATTCTTCCTGGAGGAAGGAACCTTCGTTTTAGTTCTCAAAGAATTCCCCCAAATAATTTTACAAGGACAGTGAGCAATAAAGTTAATTCAGTTCATGAAGAAAGAAGGACTATAGGCTGGGTGCGGTGGCTCACGCCTATAATCCCAGCACTTTGGGAGGCTGAGGTGAATGAATTGCCTGAGCTCGTGAGTTCGAGACCAGCTCAGGCAACTTGGCAAGACCTCGTCTCTACAATAAATAAAAAATTAGCTGGGCATGGTAGTGCGCGCTTGTGGTTCCAGCTACTTGGAAGGCTGGGGCAGAAGGTTCGCCGGAGCCCAGCAGGTCGACGCTGGGGTGGCCATGAGTGTGCCACTACACTCCAGCCTTTGAGACTCCAAATCAATGAAAAAGGAAAGAAGGACTACAAATGAAAATCAATAGAAACAGACCTACGGTGAATTCAAATGACCTTCAGACATCATATTTAATGGTGAAACTTCGAGCACTTTCCTGCTGATACCTAGAATAGACCACCATGATCACTTATCACCGCATCTATTTAATATTGGTCAGTAGGCTAAACCAGGACATAAGGCAAGAAAAAGAAGGTTTAGGAATAGAAAAAGAATAAATACAGCATTTGCAGTTGAAATGTCATATTGCCGGGCACAGTAGCTCAAACCTGTAATCCTAGCACTTTGGAAGACTGAAGTAGAAGGATTGCCTGAGTCCAGCAGTTGGGGCTGCAGTGACCATGAGCGTGCCCCTGCACTCCAGCCTGGGTGACAGAAAGAGACTCCGACTCAAAAAAAAAAGGATGGTATTGATAGAAAATTCCAAAACATCTTAGGTGATTGTTAGAATTTTAGGAATAGAACAGATTTAAAAGTTGCAAAAATGAATATATGACAATCAGTGCAATCAGTTTGTGTTTCTGTATACCAGAACCAAACAATGAAAAACTTTTTTTAGTTACCTTTACACTAACCTCCCCAGACATAACCACTCAGTTACAACAAGTAAACCTTCTTTTGAATCCTGATTGGGAAGAAGGAAAACATGTTTAATAAAATCATTTATTTTATGATTTTATGAGTTAATTGTGATTTTGAACAGTGTGTATTTTATTTTAAAGAACTTTTTAGCCTGGCTCGGTGGCCCAGCCTGTAATCCCGCGCTTTGGGAGACTGAGGTGAGTGGATTGCCTGAGCCCGCGGGTTCGAGACCCACCTGGGCAACTTGGCAAGACCTCATCTCTACAATAAAT